AGTACTCCCACTTACTGAGTGCTCATTTTATAACAGGTATTGTTAAACTTGGGCTTAGTGGTTAAGAATCCACCTGCCAATGAAGGAGACCCAGGTTCGATCCCTGGGTTGGGACGATCCCCTGGAGTTGGAAATGGCAACCTGCTCCAGTATTCTTGCCTGGAGAATCCCATGGACAGAGGAGCCTGGCAGATATATAGTCCATAGCGTTGCAGAGTCCAGCACAGCTGAAGGAACTTAGCACAGCACAGCACGTTGTTCAACTTACTTAGTCACAATAATTCTGAGAACCTAAGAGGTCAGTTCTCTTATCCATGTTTTGTAAAAGAAGAACCAAAACTTATTTACTTTTCCCAGTGTCACATAACTAGTAAGTGGCAAGACAAAAATGTAGAGTCAAGTTTTCCAATTACTATTTTGTGATTAAAATACAGATATTTTTCTATGCAGCAGTACTGGCCAAGCCATTATTTAAATCCCATGTTTAATTCTATATATCACAGCTCCCACATGGAAAGAAATGTCTTATATCTATTGTCAAGAATTTAAAGCGTTCTTCTGCAAACCCAGTGATAACTGACTTATGTGCAGTGAGTCCAGAGTAAAAGTGAACTTCTGACTCTCTTTAGAGTCTTGGAATAGAAAATACCAACCATTTAGGCTGATGTTATGACAGCATGAAGGGCAAGTGTGGAGGCCTGGGTGAAGTTCTCTTGACAACTGTGTTCCTACCCCACTTCAGTATTTTTCCTGTCTCCCTCTTTAACTTTTCATGCTTAGCTCTCAGATTGAACATACAGAGCATATAAAATAGGATATAGGGGTTCTAAGAATTCTGAGAAATCTGCATTGCTTTTGTCTACTTGATGATGCTAGCTGAGTTTAAATACTCCACAAACAGATCACTCCCTGGGATCCCCCCAGCCTCATGAAAGGGTATGCACTGTATAAAGAGCTCCTCTCCTGTCCTATACCATAAATATTATTTTTCTTTTATGGAATTGTCCATTTCTGAAAAGTTGGTAAATGCTACCGGAATGACTAACTTCTGAACTTACTGTGGTTTAAAAGAGAGAAATTAGCCATTATGTTTTGTCTCTTCATCATCTAACCTTCTGCTTTTCCGCCCCCTCCATACTTAATGCTGAAGAAAAACACCACTGTCTAGGGTGCTGGTTTCACTTATTTGGTATCAAAATTTGAAACTGGACTGTTTATTTAAGCTTCACAGAGATATAACAAGTCAGAGGGAGGGAAGTAAGGGAAGAGGATGGTTGCATCTCCTCCTCTGCTTTTCACTCAGAGGATGAAGTGGCAAGGTGGACACTGCTGGGAGTCATCAAGGGTACTACTTGGTGATAGTCAAATATGGGATCCCCAAAGCTGAATGTTTTCGGTAAAAGAAGAATAAGGAACTAGAAGGGTGTGAAAGTATACAAATGAATTGGGGATGGAGAAATGGTAGCAACAAAGAAAAGTGAGAGGAGGAAAAAGGGGGTAGAAATGGAAACTAAAAGGTATTTAATACTAAAGAGAGGAAAAGAGAAAGACAAGGGAATATATTATAAGGGAGAAGAGAGGCTAGAAGATTTAAACAGAAAGGCCAGAAAGGAAGAGAAGGCAGAGGTGTGGCATTTCTCTTGTGCTTCAATGGATAGACTGCCATACTAGGAGCATTAGAGGAGGCAGAAGACACATGGAGAGGGCTGCTGTACCTGGTGAAAGCAGCAAACCATTCCACCATGCCTGTACTTGCCACGTCAGTTAATGACATCCTCCCCGACCCGGCATAAATAATCACTTGTTCACATTCGTTTCACTTTAGGCTGCCAGAAGAAATGAGACTTTAACAAGCCTGAACCTAGAAAAGAAAGCTCGACTGAGAGAAGAGGCTGCTGTGAAGGCCAAAACAGAGTAGCAGATATATTGGTGTTGGTTGGATTTTGAAGATCTAGAAATAATGCTGCAGCAATAGGCCTTACTAAAAAGAATGTGGTATATGAGCTTCCCTATTTCCACTCTAGAGCCACAAATAAATTTTCTTAAAGAAATCACTTGTCTGTATTTTACAACTTTCAGTTCAGTTCAGTTGCTCAGTCGTGTCCGACTCTTTGCGACCCCATGAACCACAGCACGCCAAGCCTCCCTGTCCATCACCAACTCCCGGAGTTTGCCCAAACTCATGTCCATTGAGTTGGTGATGCCATCTAACCATCTCATTCTCTGTTGTCCCCTTCTCCTCCTGCCTTCAATCTTTCCCAACATCAGGGTCTTTTCAAATGAGTCAGCTCTTCACATCAGGTGGCCAAAACACTGGAGTTTCACCTTCAACATCAGTCCTTCCAGTGAACACCCAGGACTGATTTCCTTTAGGATGGACTGGTTGGATCTCCTTGCAGTCCAAGGGATTCTCAAGAGTCTTCTCCAACACCACAGTTTGATCTAGGTTAAATGAAGCCTGTTTTTTCAAGAAAATGAAAGAATGAAAAATGAGATGACTTATTTGAACTTTATTATTAACTCTTCTTTATAGCCAGGTCCCATATCCTACTTTAATTCCCATTACCAAAGTGACATCTCCCCAGAAGCCAAATGGCTTGTGTGTCCTCATTTCTGGAGAGGTAAGGAGGGACAGCTGAGTACACTGCCCAGGTGCACGTCGAAGAGCTAACCTTCCCGAATGCCCTGGTGCTTCTCAAGAGCTCTGGGAAGCAACCAGACCACACTCTGCCTTTGTCAGGTATGCTGGTAAACAGAGGCTTTTAGGAGAGCAGTCTTTGAAAAAGTCCTGGCAAGGTGATGATGGCGTTCTGGCCACAAGTTTCTGAGGATTTTGAAATCCCAACACCATAGAGGTAGTTGAGACCAGCACAGATGCCTCTTCTACTCTGTGGCTTAGAATTCTTAACTGGTCCTTTCCTTCTGCTTTTACACTGAATTTCTCCATTATGAAAAGCTATCAAATACATTTTATTAGTGTTGAAAAATAAGCATCTGTACCTCACATATATGTTGTTTAGTTTGACGGGGATGCCAAGTTGTCTCATATTTAGGTATGGATGCTGGTTTCTATTTATTTCATTTATTCTCATATGCTTCCTGAGTTTTAAGGGATGGCAAGTCCTTATAAACATTCAGAGGGTTATATCAGATTAAATAATATATGCAGCTGTTTGGGAACTTAGTTTAATAAAATACTCAGTAAAATCTAATGTACTACTCTACAGCTTCATAATCTGTCTGATAACTATATCTGTCTGTATAGGGTACTTTGACCTTAGCTTTTAGATACCAAGCTCTGTGATTTTTATCACTTGCAAATTTATCATCAAAAAGCATTACTTTATACATTTTAGCAGATTAGTCTTCCTTGATTAAAAATTTGGAATACTTGCATATTATCTAAATGTAGCTTTTAAATATGGGTAAATCTAATTTTTTTAAGTGTTGTGTTCTTGAAGATTTATTGTTGTAAAATGTTTAAGTCAAAGCTCAAAAATCCTACCATGCAGCAAGAATTTATATCATCATTTTGTGTCAGCTATCCTATTTAGTAACTTATAATAATGACTGCCTCTTTTGGAGTTGAATATAAATTTTATGACCAGAATTTAAGACCTTCCCCCATCTAATCCCACTTCTCCCAATAGCCTCACATATTAACTTCTGAGCTGTCACACACCCTACTAGTAATTCTAGTATCTTATATTGCTTACAACTTCTCAAGCAAATCAGATTTCATGAGCACTATTATAAGCAACAAGGGAGAAACTGTCTTCTTTTGTATTCTATAGTACCCATTTTCAATTAAGTGATTGTCGGTACTATTTTTGCTTAATTTCTGAATTATTTTTTCATGTTTATCATGTCTCTACAGGTAAAGGGGGCAGAAAATGTTTTCCAATTTATATTTCCTATAAACCCTGTTTGAATGAGTTAATGTGAGGCTATGGCTAGGTACTTTTAGGTTTTAACACAAATAATAGTATGGGGAATTAACTCCAAAATTTATTGAAATCAGGCAACAAGTGAAGGTTGGATGGTGGTATAATTCATTGTCATTAATCGAACATTACTTGAGGCCCTTTTATATATAAAAACTGAGAATACAAAGATGAATAAAACATAGAGTCTACGAGCTCATAATTTACTGGACACATGGCCTGTGAAACCATTACAGCACAGGCAGGCAGTGATAGTTACACAAAATGGTGATTTCTGAACTGAGTTCGCAGCATGGGGAGAAGTGGGTAGTTCAGACGTAATAAGCAAGAGGCTTTACTACTCAGACATTGAGCTTGCCCTGAGAATCAGGAGAGGGCAGTCTGACATGGTAGTTAGAGGTAAATGCCTCTCACAGTAAAATGCCTTTATTAATTTTGCTTTGGCTTATTTTTATTTTTTATCCTGGTAAAAAGACTCAGAACACAACCATTACTTGTTTTTCCCAAATTACAAACTTGATTCCACAGACCCATTTCAAATCCCATCATGTAGGCTGTCACTTAAACTGTGGGAGTAGCATCTGACAAATCTCCAGTCCACCACCATCCCAGGCTTATTCTCTTCTGATCTCCCAAACCAAATACCTTGGAGTTATTACAAACTCCCTTGCTCCCCTCATTTAATCAGTCATCCTGTTTTGTGAGCTTTACTTCTAAATTTTATCAAATACAATGATCCTCTAGAATAGTCATTGAAAGGAATAGAATGAGAATCTGTTCAAGGACAGACACAAGAGATTCATCACAGACATCAAATTACAGTCAGAAACCCTGGAATCTAAACTTGCATTTCCAACTGTCTTAACTTTGTAAACGGAGGCTACAGGTCTCAAATTCTTATAATGCAAGACAATGTAAAAAAAAATATAAAACCAAAATACATGCCAAAATTGAGAGAACACCATCTTTTAAAATATTTTTAAAAAAATAAAATAAAAATAAAATAAAATACCTTTTTTTGGCCAGTTTGACTCTACCACTTGATTTCTAAAGGGTTTAGTAAGTACTCGTCCACAATTTAACTGTTTTGTCATTTCCTAATGCTGCTGAAGCAATGATGTTTTCTGTAGGATGACAAGCTGCTGAGATTACCACATCTGTATGACCTTGTAATTTCTGTACAATCTCCTTAGTTTGAAGGTTCCAAATATATACCAGGTTATCCTCTGAACCAGAGACAATCCATTTTCCACCAGTAACTGAAAAACTGGCAAATACACAGTATTTCTCATTCTTGTGACCAGTATATGTCTTCAGGCATCTGCCTCTGCTGTAATCCCATAGTTTAAGAGTATTGTCCAAAGTTGCAATGAGAATATATTTACCATTTGGAGAAAATTTTACAAAAGAGACAGGAGGGTTATCATCATCAACAAGTGCTTTTAAACACTGACCTGATGCAGCATCCCAGATTCGACAGACACCATCATAGCTACCTGATACTATCAAGGACCCACTACAATTAAAATGAACAGCAGAAACTGGGTCAGAATGAGCTGACAAAGTCTTAAGGCACTTGCCTGTTCTCACCTCCCATATTTTCACGCTTTCATCAAAAGATCCTGAAATGATGAGGTTGGACGGTGGATTGAAATTACAGCAAAAAACGTAATTACTGTGCCCCTTTAGTGTTTTCAAACATTTTCCAGATGTCACATCCCAAATTTTTAGAGTTTTATCATCTGAGGCAGAAACAAGACGACTGGAATCTGATGACCAGGCAACATCTGATATTTCAAGATTGTGTCCTTTAAGTGTTTTCTCATATTTTCCATCATAGGCTCCCCAAATTATAATTACTTTATCAGCAGAAGAACTTGCTAGCCATTCTCCATTAGGACTAAACTTAACTGATGATACTGCTTCCGTGTGTCCCTCCAGAGTGAATTTCAGAGCGTAGTTTGGTTTTTCAGACACTGGCTCGCTCTGATTGGCAGGTGAAGGGAGAGCCGGCTCTGCTTTCGTATTTCCTGACTGTTCTGTAGTCATGACTCTGAAACTCGAAGTCGGTAGGTTGGCTAGATGTCCGGTCTTGAACCAAGCAGTCCGTATTTTGGCTTTGTATACAGCAAAATGAAGATAAAAAACATCTGACTCAAAAACAAAAAAAAAGGTCTTTTAGTGACTAATTTCTGGATCGTTTTTAAACAACGATATCTACTGGTTCAGCAGCACAGCTTGGACCACTTCACTTTTTCCTCGCTGCTTCTTCTGTAAACAAATACTTTAGAAATACTATTAAAACAGTTCCGTGCGCTGTCGGCAAGTAAGGTATTAATGCTGGGTGTTTTGTGACTATATAACGCGCTTCAAACCTGTAAGCGGTGGCGGGGGGGGGGGGGGGGGGGCGGGTGGAATCTACAGAAAATATTTTTCACTGCTTCTCCCCCAGCTCTGAAATATCTGAGTACCCCTACCTGCCTGACTTTAGACACTGTACTTTGAGCATGAATAGTTGCCGCTTTAAACAAGATTTCAGAAGCTAAGCAAAAACCTACATACACACGACTTCTTAACGCCCACACCTGCCGCCGACGCTCCAAACAGCTGCGTAAGGAATAACGCGTGCGCATGACAGCCGGGAGCCGGGCGCATGCGCAGAGGATGCCCCTCCCAACGCTTCCGAGCCGAGGAGGCTTGTGGGAGAAGTCGGTTTACGCTTGCGCAAAAGCAGACGCTGGGGTTTCCTTCCGGCCTCTGCAGGAAGGGCTTCTTCCAGACCTCGCTAGATAGTGTGGGAAGCTGTATTTCAGAGACCATTCATTACTTTTTTGGAAACCGCGTGACGAGGAAGAACTGAATTTTGAGATGCCTGCAGGCATGGATTTGGATGTAAGCCGTTCACACTGCGCGTTTCTTAGCCTTCCTGGGCCCACTCAGCGCTGGTGACTCGTATAAGCTCCTGCTGCACAGGTGGCTTTCGTTCTCCTCTCCAGCTGTTATGTAGAGCCTGGTGGCGGGTTCGAAGGCCTGCAAGTAGGCGAGGGCAACGTAGCCAAGTTTATGCCCAGATTTAAGTGTGTCCCATAAGTGTTTCGGGATGTTTTCAGTTCAGTTCAGTGGCTCATTCGTGTCCGACTCTTTGCGACCCCATGAATCGCAGCATGCCAGGCCTCCCTGTCCATCACCAACTCCCGGAGTTTACTCAGTCGAGTCGGTGATACCATCCAGCCATCTCATCCTCTGTCTTCCCCTTCTCCTCCTGCCCTCAACCCCTCCCAGCATCAGGGTCTTTTTCCAATGAGTCAACTCCGCATGAGGTGGCCAAAGTATTGGAGTTTCAGCTTCAGCATCAGTTCTTCCAATGAACACCCAGGACTGATCTTTAGACTGGCTGGATCTCCTTGCAGTCCAAGGGACTCTCAAGAGTCTTCTCCAACACCACAAGGCCAGCGCCTAGGTAGCCTAACATGGTAGTGCCGGGGGAAATGAGCAAACGTTTTAGCCCTTCCTTACGGTTTAAATTTCCAAAGAGAAGGAAAGTTCAGATCTGCTAGGTGCTTGGAACAGAAAAGGTGGAATGGGGTAAAAAATGTGTAAAGTCAAAGTGAAGTCGCTCGGTCCTGTCCCGACTCTGCGACCCCGTGGACTGTAGCCTGCCAGGCTCCTCCATCCTTGGGATTCTTTACCATTGAGCCACCAGGGAAGCGCTTTCCAGGTGTAAATTAATCTTTAATCAAGAATAGGTTTACCCAAAATGAAAGCCTGACTAGTTTCTCCAATCCTTTTTAACTATCCCTTGGTATCTGCAGGTTAATTGGTTCAAGGGCCCCCCTCCCCTCCCCCCACACATCATAGCAAAATCCAGTGGATGCTTATCTTTTCTATAAAATGGTGTGATGTTTTTATATAACCTACTTATATCCTTCCCTATAAGTAATCTCTGTATTACTTAACAATACTTAATACAATATAAATGCTATGTAAACAGTTGCCAAGATGAAGCAAGTTTTGTGTTTTGAAACTATGGATATTAGGGGGGAAGATTTTTCATCTGTGGTTGGTTGAATCTGAGGCTGTGTAACCCACAAAGGGAGGGCCGATCCTAATTGTTCAATAGAGTGCCCAAGAGAGGCTGTTTGTGTTCTGTTTGAAAGGTTTTCCTGCTAGCTGGTTGAAGTCAAGAGGCAAATATGTCTCATGATGTTTTCTGTCAGTCAAGAATTAAAACATTTGGAAACAAAAGCGTCCCCTATCTATACTTATTGGGGATAATTGAAAGTCTTGTTTTTATAAGGCACAACAGCATAATTACACCTACAATAAACTAGTAAAAACCTCATTACTTAAACACCCTACTACTCTAGTTTGGAATTTAGACAGTTGTTGTCTTAGCTCGTGCAAATTAATGGTATAAACAATGAGGTGCTGAGAATGGGAAAAACATCTTTAAAATGGTTTGGAGCATCCGTTTTTATACATTATTTTAAACTGATTAAACACCTCCTGCCTCTTCTTTCCTCCTATTTGATAGGGTTAGTGTGATTTTTACTGGGAAGCTTAGAAACACTAAATTCATTAAAAAATTTAAAAGCACTTCACAGAATAAAGCATAGGCTTTGTTTCAAAGAATATAAGTAAATCTGTATTTTTCCAACACAGAGTAAAGAAAGGAAGTTGTTGTTTAGTTGCTAAGTCATGTCTGAGTCTGCAACTCCGTGGACTGCAGCATGCCAGGCTTCCCTCTCCTTCACCATCTCCTGGAATTTGCTCAGATTCATGTCCATTAAGTAATTAAACAAGGTGAACACATAGTATGAGAGCTAGGATGGGTGTTGGTACTGGAGTATATTTAGCCCACTAGAAATGTCACAAGCATGAGGTATAAGGGGGCACACAATTAAGAATGTGTTGACAGGAATATCCAGAAATAATTTTTCATCAGATTTTCTTAAAATTTCAGTGGAGAAATTTCCATTATTCATTTTTCAGTTATCTGGAATGTTGTATGAATAGTATCCAGAACTCATGTAAAGAAAAAGCTATGAATATAACTAGTTAAATCTTTATTCATTAGTCATGTTCTAACACTCACATATAGTCCTGATATTGTACTCATTATAAATTAGAACAAAGAGTATAATAGTTTACTTCCTTGGGAAGAGGGGAGCATCAGCAACTGTGGAGTGTGTAGGAACAGGGAATACTAATATGTGTAGGAACAGGAAGTACTAATATAAGTAAATCCAAAATTACTGAAACCACAACTGGAGATTTGTATTTGGGACTTTTCAAGCAAAGTTCTTCCCTGGCAGCTCAGACAGCAAAAAATCAGCCTGCAATGCAGGAGACTCGGGTACGATCCCTGGGTTGGGAAGATACCCCTGGAGAAGGGAATGGCTACCCACTCGTGTCTTGCCTGGAGAATCCCATGAACAGAGTAGCCTGGTGGGCTACAGTCCATATTAGGGTCACAGAGTCAGACATGACTGAGCGACTAACACACAAGAAATGTTACTCGGTCCTGTTTTTAATTTCTCTTTTTGCTATGTTTAGTCTTCACCAGATAAAAGTGATTTTGTAAGTTTCTCTCCCATTAAAGTTTCTTTAAATTTCCCTTAAAAGTTTTAGAACTGAAAGTCTCATCTGTGGTTGAAAGGTTTATGCTTCTTGCCATCCAGTAAAGTTGGAGCTAGTCTAAGTAGAAATATTGCCACATACATTCGTTAATATACAGTATTTGTTTTTCTCTTTTTGACTTACTTCAGTATGTATAGTAGGCTCTGGGTTCATCCCCCTCACTAGAACTGACCTACATCTGTTCTTTTTTAATGACTGAGTAATATTCCATTGTATATATTTACCACATCTTCGTTATCCATTTGTCAGTTGATGGACAACTAGGTTGCCATGCCCTGCCTATTGTAAACAATGTTGTATGGCAAAACCCAGCACAACATTGTAGAACTTTTTTAAATTAAAAAGACAGACACAAAGAAATACTGCCACAAATGGGTCATTTTTTTTATATTAAAAAAAATTGGGAGGATAGGTATATGTGCTAAACCTTAACATGGCCTGGGGGTGATTTCTATACTACAGAACGACTTAACTGACTTCCTTCATAGTAAGTCTAACTGCCAAATCCAGACCTCAAAACTCAAGCATAATTGAACTCTGAACATACCCAGTTGCTTAAGACCACCAACAATTTAAATATATGAAAATCTCTTTGGGCTAAACATGCTGCTGCTGCTGCTAAGTCGCTTCAGTCATGTCCGACTCTGTGCGACCCCATAGACGGCAGCCCACCAGGCTCCGCCGCCCCTGGGATTCTCCAGGCAAGAACACTGGAGTGGGATGCCATTTCCTTCTTCAATGCGTGAAAGTGAAGTCGCTCAGTCATGTCCAACTCTTTGAGACCCCATGGACTGTAGCCCACCAGGCTCCTCCGTCCATGGGATTTTCCAGGCAAGAGTACTGGAGTGAGGGGCTAAATATGGGGTGCCCATATAACTTATCTAAACTTTTTTAAAGTGGAAGAGGGCACTAAATTAACAGGTGTTGATTTAAAAACTAGGACTGCCCTCAGCAAACCAGAACGTTCAGTGTGGACTTCCCAAGAGGGCTCTCATCAAGTTAATCGTGAAAGATGCTACACTCTGTATGCTAATTTGCACTCCGACCTGTCTAGATCCCTCTCCATTATTGTGGCCTTCTGGGTTTCTATTTACCCATAAATAATGCTGGGCCCAAGTGTGTTAAATAAGGCAGTGATCCATACTGACACCCTCTGGGCTCCTTTGGCTTCCTCAAGTTAAGTGGGTATAGATAAAGGAATTTAGAGAGTAATTTTATTCTTTGGAAAACGATTCAAAATCACAGAAATGAACACATACTGATTTTAAAATTAGAATACTTTTTTCCAAAATGGCGAATGAAATGGGGCGACAGTCATCTAAGCAAGCTTTAATAAATTTGTAAACCCAACTGGATGATCATGTAGTCTGCAGGAACTAAGACTGTTTTAAGACTGTTTTGTTTTCAGA